AAAAGCTAAAGGAGTTCATCACCACCAGACCAGCACTACAGGAAAAGTTGAAGGGTCTTCTTTAAGAAGCAGCTAATGAACAGAAGAATCTGATGAAACTAAATATATCCAAAGACATTGACGCATACAACAGATGATCATATTTCAGAGGGAAGGGGGGTGGAGGGTGGGAAGAGAGTAACCAAAGAAGTTATATAACCCATGGACACAGTTAATAACAGGGTGAAGGCCTGGGAAGGGGGTGGAGGGGATCAATGGGAGGGAAAATGGGATACCTGTAATACTCTCAACAATAAAGATAAATTTAAAAAGTAAAAAAAAAAATTTTTAAAGAATAAACTCAAAATGGATTAAAGACTTAAGACTCAAAGCCATAAAACCCTTAGAAGAAAACATAGGCAGTAAAATCTCAGTCATTTTTCTTAGCAATATATTTTTTTTTACATTGCTCCTCTGGCAAGGGAAACAAAAAAATGAGCAAATGGGACTACATCAAACTAAAACTTTTTGCACAACAAAGAAAACCATCAACAAAACAAAAAGACAACCTCCTCAATGGGAGAACATATTCTCCAATGACACAGTTGATAAGGGATTAATATCCAGAAGTTATGAAGAATTCATACTACTCAATATAGAAACAACAATTGGATTAAAAAGTGAGCTGAGGACCTGGATAGAAACTTCTCCAATGAGTCATACAGATGGCCAATACATATATGAAAACATGCTCAACATAACTAATCACAGAACTATAACTTAAAACCACGCCAAGGTATCACTTCATACATGTCTGAAAGGCTCTCATCAATAAATCAACAAACAACAAGTGTGGATGTGGAGAAAAGGGAACCCTCGTGCACTGTGGGTGGGAATGCAGATTTGTGCAGCTACTGTGGAAAACAGTAAGGCGATTCCTCAAAAAATTAAGAAGAGAACTACCTTATGACCCAGTGACTTCACTTCTGGGTATATATCCAAAGAAATCCAAAATACTAATTCAAAAGAATATATGCCCCCTAATATAACTGCAGCATTATTTACAATAGCCAAGATATAGAAGTACCCCAAGTGCCCAACGATAGACAAGTAGATAAAAAAGAGGCAATACATTTACACAATGGAATATTACTCAGCCATAAAAAAGAATGAAAACTTACCATTTGTGACAGCATGGATAAACCTAGAGGGTACTATGCTTATTGAAATGAGTTAAACAGAGAAAGACAAATATCATATAATTTCACCTATATGTGGACTCTAAAGAACAAAATAAAGTAAAATTGAAACAGACTATAGATAGAGAGAACAAAGTGATGGCTGCATGAGAAGGGAGAGGTTGGACGTCTGGGTGAAAAAGGTGAAGGGACTAACAAATACAAGTTGGTAGTTACAAAATAGTCTTGGGGATGTAAAATACAGTATAGGAAAAATAGTTAATAATACTGTAATAACTATGTATGGTGCCAGGTGGGTACTTAAAATATAGGAGGTATCACTTTGTAAAGTATGCAATATCTAACCGCTATGCTGTACACATGAAAATAATACAAAATAATATTAAATGTAAACTTTAATTGAAATATAAAATTATTTTTAAAAGAAAAAGATTCTGATATAGAAATTAAAATGTATATTCTGATAAATATCAAAAATGTCACAAATGATAGACTAAAAAGAAAAAATATACTTCTTCCAGTTTATTACAACATAATGCCATTTTTATTGATAACACATGTATGAAGACATTAGAAAGTCATATGCCCATTTTAGAAGAATAATATCTAACTATGTGAATGATTTTTTTTTCATTGGATAGGCTTGTCATTGTAATTTTATTCCCAGCAAGTATTTGATCAGTTGTCTTCCTCAACATGGAAAAGCAGAAGCTAAAATAACAAACAAAAGTGCCTGGTCTTTAGAAGGCTTTAGCATCCCTGTATTCTAGGTTACAATTGGATGCTAAATTACATATTGGGGAAAGAACAAATTGGTTATGAATCATTTTACTCTACTTCAGGCTCTACTTTTCTTACGTGGACTTAAACTCCAGTCCACAGCGCTTTTCAACCCCTCTCCCAGCCATCTTTTCTACAGACTTCATGTAGTCTCAAGTACAAATGCAACTCCAGACATGGTGTCTAATACCTCGCACCCTGTATTGGACCATCCACTGCCCAGCCATGTGCGGTTACCTGGAACCAGCTTCAAGGCATTCTCCAGGTACTCATCTTCTGTGACAGGGTGACCATTTAACATCAGCTCCAGGGTGAAATCCCGCACAGTCCAGATAAAGTCTGGAAAGAAACTCACAAACTCTGTGGAATCATCTACTCCATCTGATGTAGGAGAGGACTTTGCCCTGATGAGTTCTGTCAGCTCTGTCACATAACTAGGACTTGGCTAAGGAAAATAAACTTTCTACCCACAGTTCCCTATTTTCTAACAAAATAATGTATTATAAACAGTCCCTTTTGCTATGGTTCCTTCTGGTCCACCAAAGGCAATCTAGTGAGAAGGAAGGAGAAACTGACTGGATCTCCATTCCCAGAGACTCCACGACACACAGTGGTTTGGTTCCTGGAAGGATACTGCAGGTGCTCCAGGGCCTGGTGGTTGATGGTGCTCATGCTGTTGTAGACAAAGGTGCTGCTCAGGAGCACGGCCAGGGCAAAGATCCATGAGTCATTCTTAGGGTTGCCCTGGAAGCACATTAGGTCAAGACATTTAGGAGTTTACCCTGTAGAACTTCATTCAGACACTGAGTCTAGCAGCCTGTTAGTTTTATTTCAGCTATGTACTCACCATGCAAAGAAATAAGTTTGAAGACAGGAGTAAATACACATATTGGCTTTGACAATTACAAAACATTTCTTGTGATTGAATTTTTTCATATATAAAAGGATTTTGTGATCACATGGCTTTCTTTTGATTCAATTGGATGAAATAAAATAACATATAGAAAAGCTTATACATCCTTCCAATGTATTCTTTATTTCTGCTATGTCATTCTTCATTTCTGAATAGTCACTTTTCTTAGTTTCCATATCTTTTTTTCATGCTGTTGAGCATCTTTACAATCAGTATTCTGAACTTTGTATCTGAGAAATTGCTTATCTCCATTTCAGTTAGCTTACTTAGGCCTGGATGGCTTCACAAGGGAGTTTTACCAAACATTCAAAGAAGAATTAACACCTATTCTACTGAAACTATTTCAAAAAATCCAAGAGGAAGGAACACTTCCAAACTCTCTTTATGAGGCCAGCATTAGCCCAATTCCAAAACCAGATAAAGACACTACAAAGAAAGAGAATTACAGGCCAATATCCCTGATGAACATAGATGCTAAAATCCTCAACAAAATATTAGCAAATCAGATCCAGCAATATGTTGAAAAGATCATACACCATGACCAAGTGGGGTTTATTCCAGGGATGCAAAGCTGGTACAGTATTTGCAAATCAATAAACATGATACATCACATAAACAAATTGAAAGACAAAAATCACACGATCATATCAATAGATGCAGAAAAAGCATTCGATAAAATCCAACACCCATTTCTGATAAAAACTCTCAGCAAAGTGGGAATAGAGGGAACATACCTCAACATAATAAAGGCCGTATATGACAAACCTACAGCCAACATCATACTCAAAGGGCAAAAACTAAAACCATTTCCTTTAAGAACAAGAAGAAGACAGGGATGTCACTTTCACCAATCTTATTCAACATAGTAGTAAAAGTCCTAGCCATAGTGATCAGACAAGAAGAAAACATAAAAGGCATCCAAATTGGAAAAGAGGAAACAAAACTGTCATTATTTGCAGATGGCATGATATTGTACATAGAGAATCCTAAAAACTTCACCAAAAAACTACTGGATTTAATAAATGAATTCAGGAAGGTAGCAGGATACAAAATTAACACCCAGAAATCAATGGCATTTTTATATACCAATAATGTACTCTCAGAGAACTAAAAAAAAATCTCATTTGCCATTGCAACTAAAAATATAAGATACCTAGGAATAAACTTAACCAAAGATGTAAAAAACCTTTACTTGGAAAACTACAGGACACTGAAAAAAGAAATAGAGGAAGATATAAATAAATGGAAAAATATACCATGTTCATGGAATGGAAGAATTAACATCATTAAAATGTCCATGCTACCCAAAGCAACGTATAAATTCAATCCAATCCCTATTAAATTACCAACTGCATATTTCGCAGATCTAGAACAAACATTTTGAAAATTTGTATGGAACCAAAAAACACCCCAAATAGCCATGGCAATCTTGAGAAAGAAGAACAAAGTTGGAGGCATCACAATACCAGATATCAAGTTATACTGCAAAGCCACTGTAATCAAAACAGCCTGGTACTGGCACAAGAACAGACATATAGATCAGTGGAACAGAACAGAGAACCCAGAAACTGACCCATGCCATTATGATCAATTAAAATTTGACAAAGGAGGCAAAAACATACAATGGAGTAAAGACAGTCTGTTCAATAAATGGTGTTGGGAAAATTGGACAGCTGCATGCCAAAAAACGAAATTAGACCACCAACTTATGCCATACACAAAACTAAATTCAAAATGGATAAAAGACTTAAATGTAAGACATGAAATCATAAAAATCCTAGAGGAAAACACAGGCAGCAAAATCTCAAACATTTCTTGTAGCAATATGTTTGCTGATACATCTCCTAGGACAAGAGAAACAAAGGAGAAAATAGACAAATAGGACTGCATCAAAACAAAAAGCTTCTACACAGCAAAAGAAACCATCAACAAAACGAAAAGGGAGCCCACTGTATGGGAGAACATATTTGCCAATGACACATCGGAACATAGGGTTAATATCCAAAATATATAAGGAACTCATACAACTTAACAAAAGGAAGAAAAACAATCCAATTTAAAAAATGGGCAAAGGACCTAAAGAGACAATTCTCCAAAGAGGACAGACAAATGGCTAAGAGACATATGAAAAAATGCTCAATGTCACCAATCATCAGAGAGATGCAAATTAAAACCACAATGAGGTATCACTTCACACCTGTCAGAATGGCTGCCATCAACAAATCAACGAACAACAAGTGCTGGTGAGGGCATCTTAGTACACTGTTGGTGGGAATGCAGACTGGTGCAACCACTATGGAAAGCAGTATAAACTTTTCTCAAAAAATTACAAATTCACCTGCCATTTGACCCAGTGATCCCACTTCTAGGAATATATCCTAAGGAACCCAAAACACCAATCACAAAGAACTTCTGCACCCCTATGTTCATAGCAGTGCAATTTACAATAGCTAAGATCTGGAAACAGCCCAAGTGCCCATCAGTAGATGAGTGGATAAAAAAGCTGTGGCACATTTACACCATGGAATACTATGCAGCTGTAAAGAAGAAAGATATTTTATCCTTTGGCACAGCATGAAAGGAACTAGAAAGTATTATGCTAAGTGAAATAAGCCAGTCAGAGAAAGACAAATACCACATGATCTCATTTATATGTGGAATATAATAAACAAAATAAACTGATGAACAAAATGGATCCAGAGACATAGAAGCATGGAACAGATTGAGAGATCTCAAGAGAAGATGGGGAGGGGANACACTGTTGGTGGGAATGCAGACTGGTGCAACCACTATGGAAAGCAGTATAAACTTTTCTCAAAAAATTACAAATTCACCTGCCATTTGACCCAGTGATCCCACTTCTAGGAATATATCCTAAGGAACCCAAAACACCAATCACAAAGAACTTCTGCACCCCTATGTTCATAGCAGTGCAATTTACAATAGCTAAGATCTGGAAACAGCCCAAGTGCCCATCAGTAGATGAGTGGATAAAAAAGCTGTGGCACATTTACACCATGGAATACTATGCAGCTGTAAAGAAGAAAGATATTTTATCCTTTGGCACAGCATGAAAGGAACTAGAAAGTATTATGCTAAGTGAAATAAGCCAGTCAGAGAAAGACAAATACCACATGATCTCATTTATATGTGGAATATAATAAACAAAATAAACTGATGAACAAAATGGATCCAGAGACATAGAAGCATGGAACAGATTGAGAGATCTCAAGAGAAGATGGGGAGGGGAGTGTGGGTGGGGAGAGATTAATCAAAGAACTTAAATGTTTATAAGCATAACCCATGGACACAGCTATTGGTATGGGGAAAGCCTGTGGGGTGGAGGGGATTAATTCAATGGGGATAAAAAAGGGACATCTGTAATATTTTAAATAAAAAGATAAAGAAACTAAAAAAGATAAATGAATGAATGAAAATAAATACATAAATAAATAAATAAGAAGAAAAAAAAAGAAAGAAAGAAAAGTTTAGCACAGTACCTGTTGTGCAACTAGGTTCAATGAAGAGTGTTACCACATATTCATTCTACACCATTTGTTGGTCATGAACTACATAAAATATACCATAGTTAACATAACTGGGGATATATTCAAGAAATGTTTTTGAGTAACTACTGAATATTTCCACTGCTGGTAAATTTAAAAAGCAGTTGAAAGTGAGAAATACTACTTTCAAGACGAGTATTTTGCAGCCGTGAGAGACACCTATAACAAAGAATGCAACAAAGATAACAATATCTACAGGCGGCTTACATCTGAATAATGTATAGAAGCACTGGAACCTATAGATGTAGTCAATAAAAATTTACAGGTCCATCATGGAAGACCAGAGCTCTAAAAGTTGGAAAATTTCACAGAACACAAAGTTTTCCTCAGCATCTTGACAGAAAATGAAAGACTTGGTAGAATGTGAACTTGAAGAAATGAAGGTATCCTGTGGGCAGAAAGACCCACGGAAGCAAAAGTAGACATGGCAGAATACAGGGGTCTTTTCAATAAAAGTAGACTTAGTTGATCTCACTGGAACAGGAGGTAGGTCAAGAAGTTTAGGCTGGAGAGTAAGCCTAGTGCAACCAGATGCAGGACCTTTAAGGCCGGGTTAATTTGTTTGTATAAAATACAGCGGAATCTTTTTCTAATATAAACAGTGTCTAAAGTTGTTCCCTAGAGCAAAGTGAAAAATGCCTAGAAGACGCAATAATAAATTCTTGGAGGGAAATGCTGATTCATTAATTTATCTTCTCAAAGCCCAATTTAAATAAAATGATTACCATAAAAAGTATCACTTATGACAGCAATAGGTTGTTTAGACAGCAAGACTCTTTAATATATAAAAATAAACACAAAATGGATAACTCTTCTTTGGTAGAAATAGAGCGTTGTAGAAATTTAGGTACTATTTCCAAATAAGTCTCAAACTAAAGCAGAAAAGGAGAAATCATGCATTTACCCCTTAGTAGAAAAATAAAATATCAAAAACTCATCTACATGTATTGTAGGACAAACACATGCTTTGATAGAACCGTCCGTCTCCTTCAGAGGTGCCTCAAAGTCTTCCAGAATGCTCTGTGAGTACTTGATAATCTTCACCAAGGACTGCAGACTCTTTGAGGGCAGAACTTTGACTTTGGTCACTAGTATCTACAGTACTAACTTAGAGACCTGGGAATATGGTGCTCAGTAATTATTTAGTAAATTGAATGAAATTATTCACCCAGTGCCAAGATAAAAGAAAATTTTACTCAAAGTACCATGACACCTTACCTCGAAGTAAGAGTCAAACCAATGAAAATGTGCCTGATATATAGTTGGATTTCAAGATTTCACAAATAGAACAAGCAGTTAAGTTAAAGAGATCATTATGAGAATATCCAGACTGAAAACAATGTGTCTGTGACTCTCTGCCTTACCTTTTCCACATCGCCCAGGCCCTCGGTGTCCAGAAGGACCAGAGTGCAATCAGTCTTAGAGGGGTGAGGCACACACCACATCCAGATGCCCTTGGTTTCAGACTGCACCGTAGAGCCCAGAGGGAAGCCTATCATGGAAGGGGAGACCCAACACACAGTGACGACAGACAACCTAAGCAGCCAAGGGCTACAAAGTCAGACTTGTTGCACTGTAAGAACCCCAGAATATAAGATAGTGCTTTCTCTATTTTGTAAGAATGCTTCACTTTGTATGTCATCTATTTCAAGGAGGAGGTGAATGTCAACTGTGAGAATGATACCCAGCAAGGGCTCGAAATGGAGGCAGGGGGCATCCATGAACCAGACACAATAAAGGCCACTGAATACCATACGAGCATTTTAAAAGAACAGTCTAGTGCAAACCGGGCAGAGGTAGATAACAGAGAGACATCTAAAGAAAAATAAATTGAAATAGTATTTATTCCAGT